TTGGAGGACATGCATTATATTCCCACATAATACATGTATAGTCTTTTCCAAACCTAAGCAAGCAGGCTATCATATTTGTTATATGCAAATAAATACATGCTAATGGATATTTAGAAAACTAAAAGCGGGGATTTATCAAGAGATACCGCCGGGAAAACTAATAGGCTAGACAATACAAATTATGTTTTAATTTATTGTTGGATAAGGCGAGTTAATTTTTCTGCAGTATGTAAGCTAATTTAGAACTTACATCAGGAAAATGGGTGTCACTCATTTCCCCTGCGAGGGCGGGATGCACCTTCTCTTTTCTAAGCTTTTAAAATTATGTAGGGTAATTGTCGGAACAAATACTGGATAGAGACTTACCCTCTAATAAAAATGGGATCAAGAATGACGAAGACCTCCACGTTGGAAAATCAGCTCCGACAAGGCTAAGTTAATTGAAACCTCTGGCCTTAAACTAAAGTCCAAGCAACTTGAAGCCTCTGGCATAATCGGCTATGATCGAGCTAAGTTAACATACATTTGGCCTAACTAAAGTCCAAGTTAATATACCTCTAGCATAATAGGCTGCGGCGGGGTAACATTTAATAAAACCTCTGGCCTAACTAAAGTCCAAGCAACTTAAAGTCTCTGGCCTAATCGGCTGTGGCTAGGTAACATTTAATAAAACCTCTAGCCTAACTGAAGTCTAAGCAATTTAAACGTCTGGCATAATCGTCTGCATCCGGGTAATGTTTAATGAAACCTCTGGCCTAACTGAAGCCTAAGTAACTTGAAAGCCTTTAGCATAATCGGCTACGCCCGGGCTAAGTTAATATACCTTTGGCCTAACTAAAGCCCAAGTTAATATACCTTTGGCATAATCGGCTGCAGTCGAGTCATGCAAAATAAAAGCCTTTGACCTCCATTTAACGTCAACCCCATGAGGCTTTGAACGTCAATCATGTAAAATAAAAGCCTCTGGACTATATTCTAACGTCAATCTCCATGGGGCTCTGAACGTCAAATAGGTTAGTAAAACCCACATCCTCTAAAAAATCAAGTCAACATACTTTTGGCCAGGTCAAGATAATGTACTAAAGACCTTCAATAATGTGTTATGACACACACGTCTAATCGGAGTCATCACGGTCCGATTAGAACAAATCACTGATTCATTAAGAAATATTATCTTACATACATCTCGGCCAGGGTGTGTGAACCTGGCTTCAATAGCCTGGGGCTAACCAGGTCTTATTTAGTCAGAGTGTGATAAAAAGATGTTGGCAATAAAGCCCAGATTACCATAAAGCGACGTGGTTCATACCTCACCATACTAAAATCCTTGGGGCTTATCAAAATTAGCTGCCATGCCCGAACAAGCAAACAAGTGGAATAAGAAAATGAAACTTACCGGGATATGAAACTAAAAACGTCTAAAATAAGCTCGGAGATATATGTATATAATCAAGGATAGATAATATAAAGCATATGTAAGTCTGCAATAAAACGATCAACAAACTTCATATGGGCTTGAAATATTATAAGGAAAACATCCATAATGTCATGAATAAGAAAAGGATGACTAAATGATACAACAAAACTTCAAAAGGCCGAGATCCCATTGGGGCTCTCCGACTTCTCTATGACCATGACTCGTCAGGTTCTAAAATGACACTAGGTCAAGAATCCACTAGGGATCTCCTAATTCTTTGTTAAAAATGTAGTGTTTTTCGACATTATTAAAGTCGTAGATCTGCCCAAGATACCATTGGGGTTTACCCTTCTCCTTAGCAAAACAAAATAAAGCATTGTCATAAATTCAAGGACCTCCATAGGATCCAAACATATTGCGAAAGAGCAAATCTGGCAAAAAGATATACCCTATGTTATAAAAGATTTGTCACGTATATTCACGTCATTGTGTTGAATTAAAAACTGATTGCATGTAAGAGCAGGTCGGGTTGTGCCTCATCTTCAATAAAGAATAATGTTTCGGGCTTCTTTTGTTCGAACATTTCATCCTTTCATGACTCATGCCCGGGGGGCTTATGTACATCTTGGAAATTATATGGCTGCTCGAGGTATGAAATCAGAAATTTCAAGCATTCTTAAAATAATAGGAGCCGAGGTGCATATTCTGGTCCTGGCCGGAGAGAAAGGTCGGGCGCACGCCATCACTACATCTCAAACTCTGCCCTTATATCGAGTGAGTCCAATAGCCAGTATAGGCTTCATATTTTTTGATTATGTCTGTTACAAGATCCAATAAATCATTTTGTTAACTACAACATTCTACGTATATTAAGGAATATTTACGATTATTAAGAGTTTTGATTTACAAAGGTGTTTAATGGTCATTAGACCAATTAAGCTAAAGTTATGTTATAAAAGGGAAGCAAGTACCAAAACAATAAGGGGGAGGCAACATGATAAATAACATAAAAGTAGCAAATTTAATAGGAACCTTGGCCCACCAACAATGGTGATTATCAACTCTATTCCAATCACAAACACTCCAACCATACATTTACGACCTCCCTTGACTAGCGTCAAGAAGGTTAACTAATTGATGTTTTTAGCAAGAACCCTATTATCATTATTATATACGATATGTTTAAATTAGTTAGTAAGAATTTTAATAACAATAGCTTTTATGTATTAACTATGTCCGGCTAAATCATTAGAGTCCGGAATGTGAGGACCGTCGTTTTGACGATGCTCGCATTTAAGTCGTAAATTAAATAATTAAGTTCGGATTTGTTTTAGGACTGATTTTTGAACTATTTTCAAATCAAAGTAATTACCTAAAAAGCGTAATTTTAGAGATATCGGTTCAGACTAGAAAGGAACCCGTATCTGACTTAGGTAAAAAAATTAGATTTTAAATTAAGTGATATGCAAAAGCAAGGCGTTTATGAATGGACATGCGAAATCGGACATTTATGAACTTAAAATCCAGTGTCAGACAAGCGAAAGGCAGTAACACCTTTAAACTTATTTTTCACCTTAAAACAAAATTTTAATTACTCAAAAGTAATTAATTTTCAAAAGAAAAGCTTTGAACTTTAACATGTTGAACACACAATAGCCGAAATATAGATTTTAGGCTAAAGTTTGGTTCCGGCTGCGCGAAAGCGAACAATTCATTTAAGTTAATTCTTTTTATTAAGCACTATAAATCTCGGTGTCGTCTTTCTAAATTTACTATTGCATTTATATTTAGTAGTGATTGCGTGCTAGGTTTTTCAATTTCTTCGTATTATATCGTGTTGTGGTTGATAGCGATTAATTACGTAAAGCTTAGGTTTTGTTGGAATTGGACAACTAGTCAAGGTAGTGTTGTGATTGATAAATTTGAAAATGAATTGAATTTAGTTATCCACATTGAAACAATTGTGCACAGTTCTTATGACTACACAGCTTGAATTAATTCATACCAATAGGTTCATTGTTAATAATCTTAGATATTTGTGAAATGAATTGTGTGTTTGCTTTAACATAATCGACTGTATAATTTTCATTTTTGCTTCAAACCTTCTGCGCGCAACTACTTTTTGAAAATACTATGATTTTGGAAAACGACGCTTGCATTTTTAATTGGGTCTATTCACCTCCATCTATACCGTTTTTCTACTTCCTTATTCACACCCAACAAATATGAACCAATTGTGTGATGAAAGATGGACTATAAACTTCAAAAAGTTTGAAAATTTTATCAACAACAAAAGTAAAGAAGTTATTGTGAAGAAGGTCATATATGATAAAGACTTCAGGGGTTTGCGAAACCTCAAGATTAATAAAGTAATTATGTAGGAAGAAGAAAGAACAACCAATATATCAGACAAAATGTCTCAACGTTTTTCTCAGGAGTCTGAATAATCTTATGAGGACTGAGTCATTAAAGGGATGACTGATGGTCAGGCTGGAGGTCCTTCCAATTTTGAACAACCTACAATGGTTCAGAAGAAGAAGCTGAAGAAGAATATGGAATATGATATAATTCCTTATCGTCTGGATGTATGAATAACCAAAAATATAGGGATAAAATTTAGAGTAAATATTTAACTATACTCTTAAAGACAATATAATTTATATCATATATAATCGAGTTAATCCATGAACCTAACGAGTCGAACTATATATAGTTCAACTCATTTAACTAACGAACTTAGTTTTTCACTCATATTCAACTCATTTAGTTCATGAATCTAGTTCAACGATCAGTTATTGAATCGAATTTTAAATTATTTTTGAGTTGGTTCAATTTATTGTGAGCCCTAATAATATCAATAGTATAGAAAGAAATTCCTTTTAAATATGCAAATAAAACTCTTAATGTTATCAATAAATAGCAATGAAACACCAAACATGTGTATAAACTCTTAATCTTATCAATAAATAGCAATGAAACATCAAACATATGTATAAACTCTTATCAATAAATAGTAATGAAACACCAAACACATTTGCAGATTTGTTACTAAACCTAACCAAAACATACTACAAAATAGTAATAAAATAAGTGCTGAAAAGGAATGAAAAATGAGACAAGGATAAAATCGTAATTTGAAATGCAAGAAACAATCCCAAGAGAGAGAGAGACAGAACAGCACTGGAGTTACAGCTGATTCAAGCTTCCCTTTTAAACCGCCGCTTGTCAATTCGTCGCATGTCTACATTCATGTGACGAAATTCGTCGCTTTTCATTCTCATGAAAATGATGAATGCTTATGAACCATGATACTTTTTCACAGTAGTAACAAGCCACATTACTAGTATTATATAGTTAAAATTCTTAACGCGATTCTTCATTTTTTTCATTCTAGTTAATTCTTCATCATTCTCTTCAATTCGCATTGTAAATCCCCAAACTAAACCCTACATTTTCCTCATTCTTTTCAATAAGGTACACTACTCTTTCTCTTTCTCTTTTTAACTTGAATGTTTTTTGTTTGTGATTGTGAATGATGATGAACCAGTAACGAAACCCTAGTGAGAGATACTAGATATTATCTATGGAGGGTGGTGAGAGAATCGGAGAAGATATGGATCTCGTTCATTCGGAAAATGCTGCTGCTACTGCTGGTGGTGGTTCCGTTTCTCAGGATCAAGAAATGGTTGATCAAGGTGATGCTGATGCAACAAATGTCCATTCTACCCCTACTCCTCAGGCTAAAGTTAAGAATGTGGCAGAAATGAATAATCATAGTGTGATAAACAGTGCTGGCGAGGTAGTTTTTTTGTTGTTGTTTGATGATTGTAGAATCTATATACAGTAGATAAGATAGTAAGATGATTTTGTTGATTTTAGTTATTGTGGTTGGTTTTACTATGCAGATGAGTGGTTATGATGAGACTGGTACTGCTTTGGAACGAGAAGCGTTTATGAAAGAGCTTGAGAGTTTTTATAGGTCGAGGTCCTTGGAATTTAAGCCTCCTAAGTTTTATGGAGTGCCATTGAATTGTCTCAAGTATGTATAAGTGTAATATAATACCCTTCAAATGTATTATCAGAGTAATCTCGCTTTACTCGCAAGCATTTTCAAAAGGCTACTTTTAGCAAGCTTGCTTGCTTGGGTTCCTTTCCTTTGATACTAGTTTTTGAATGTGTTTATTAACTGATCTGATATAGTGGATTCCGTATTTAACCATCCGCTGCAGGTTATGGAGAGCTGTTATCAAATTGGGTGGCTATGAATTGGTATGATCCCACTCTTGTTCTTGCGATATATACTTTTAACAATGCTGTCTGATATATACATTTTCCATCTGATGAGGTAAGACTTATTGTTGTTTTGTCTGAGAGCATATCATAACATTCTAGTTTGCTTGATATTCCTAGTTTTTATATTTCATTTAGTGCTAATCTGTTTTGGGCTCTTTGTTAGTTATAAGTTACCAATTGGTCGCACGTAGCTGATCTTATTAATAGGTTTTGGGTTCTTCATTTAGTTCTCTTATGTTTTTGGGTCCTTTTGTTATTAATAATACTTTGTTTTTGCCTGTTAAAAAAAGCTGATCTTATTGACTGGTTTATACAGGTAACTGGATCGAAGTTGTGGCGGCAAGTAGGAGAGTCTTTCCACCCTCCTAAGTAAGGCCTGGAAATATTATTTGTTCGGTAGTTTGTACTAAGCATATCGCAACATCTCGCATTTCTGCTGTTTACTTTGATATAGTTTTGTAGTCGTCTGAGTTGTGTTCATAACTGGTTGTTATGGACATGTATAATTAAGACTCTGAAAGATAAAATTTTCAACAATTCATTTCAAGAGAAGTATCCCTTTGCTGCTAATTATCTTATTGAATACATTCTCTACCACAGGACTTGCACAACAGTCTCATGGACGTTTAGAATCTTTTATGAGAAGGTAACATTTATGTTTCATTGGCTTTATGGTTTGTAAAAGATACAACTTCTAATCTATATCAATAAGATTACACTTCTTTTATGGCTATAATTGATCTACAAGATCCCCGTCCCCTCTGAAATGCATGAAATGTGCATCAGTTTCAGTGTGAATTGGGGGAAAGTGTCTCTTCTGCCTTTATATTACTGTCCCATGGCATCAGTAGTCCTTGTCATATAACTTTTGGATACCAATAAAAATGAAACCAAGATTCTCTGTTATTGTATGCTTTTCTGTCATGTACTATTTCAAGTGTGACTTTTCTTGCCTTTTTCTAGCCACTTGCTTGATTTTGCTGTTTCCTTTGTTTGTGGTTTCTGGAAAATCTCAATCTGTACAGGCGCTTTTAGAATATGAAAAGCATAAGAGAGACACCGGGGAGCTACAGCTCCCTGTTGGATCACTCCATCAACCTTCAAGTGTGGAAAAAGAGGTTTGTATATTGTTCTTTATTTTAAAAAACAAGATCCTCTGTTTTCCTTTGTTGTGGGATGGGTCTGACTCTTCAATTATACACATATTTTGCAATAGAAACAGAAGTTGAGGTGTGAAGCAAATACTGTTCATATTACTGGATTTGAAAGTACTGCTAGGGAAAAACAGAAAACTTCGTTTATGTGATAGAGTAAAAAAGAGAAACATTCATTGCAGAAGCATACTTAGTTTTGTTTAGCGCACAATTAAGCTGAAAGAATTAAGAACTAAATGGGTTTTTTGTTTTAAGTCAGGGCAGTGAAAGATAACATTAATATGTAATTAAATACTGCGAGTTTTCATGTGTACCGAAGGGCTTACATTTTGCAAACACACATGAATACCTAACAATGGAAGAAAACCAGATAAATTGAGAGAGAACTTATGCACTGTATCTGTATTGCTGACCAAGTTCAGAAACTACTGTAAAATACACATAGAGAATGTTGCTACATGTTATGTACATATAGGTTTTAAAAAACAATCGCGGTCGTGTAAAGGTTTTCGCGATTTCGGTCCGTACAGGTGTCGCGACACTGATTACGGTCGTCGCGGGGTAAATTAACCAAAATTTGTTCTTTAACATAGAAAACGGTGATAACGGTATCGGAATCGGCATCTGCCAAAACCGTTTTGTCCCAGCCGTTTTCGCGGTCACAGACCGTTTTTTAAAACCCTGTGTACAATATTCAGTTGTATATTCACATATGTTAACTAACATCATACAGTTGCCATATTATAAAGAATAAACTGATGAGTTACTCCTGAAAAAAAGGTCCATAGAAGAATAGGGTCTCGGAAAAATCAAAACCATAATGCTATAAGCTTAAACAATTACAAAGAATAAACTGATGAGTTACTCCTGAAAAAAAAGTCCATAGAGGAATAGGGTCTCGGAAAAATCAAAATCACAATGCTACAAGCTTAAACAAGAACAATGGAAAATAGAGTTATGATACAGCTAAATGGTTTCTGCAAATCGACAATTGATAACATCATCCTAATTGGAGATAAGTCTGTCTCAAATTATTTATATCTATGATAATAATATTGATGTTTAGAAACAAAGGAAACAAGACTAATAGAGTAGCTAACAATGCTAGATATCACATCCATTTCTGGTCATGCTGATAAATGCAGATGGGTGTGGGCTGTGTCAACTAAACCCTCTAACTGTAAAGCCTCTACTCTAGGGTTCATCGAATCTGTTGCTTGATATCTCCAGTAAAATGTGAAAAGCAAGGAGAGTGGTGAAATAATGAATTTCTTTTGCAGACCACTGTTTACCAGGCTCCAGGCTCAGGTAGGGCAAGAAGGGATGCAGCAGCACGGGCAATGCAAGGTTGGCATGCTCAGCGCCTTCTTGGATATGGTGAGGTTGCTGAGTCAGCTGTTAAGGTCTGTTGGGATCCTTGAATTTCACACCCTCATTCTTATTGTAATTTTATTGTGTTTATATGGATGTTTCTACCACGTGATCACTTTGTATTTTCTTGCATAGGACAAGAACTTCAGTCCCACACCAAAACGTGAAAAGAACCTCAAAAGTATTGGTATGCTCATTACGACCAATATTAAATATCCTATAACTAACTTGCATCCTCATTTCTTCATGCTTCAATGAATTAGGTGTGATCAACAAACAGAGGACACCATCTGGTATGGACCATGCTGACAAAGCTGCAAATATAGAAGGAGACAGGCAGTTAAGTTACTGGTCTTTTGTAGTAATTGACTTACAGTCATGTATGTGCATTCATTTTAATTTATATCTGTATCACTGTTGGTTTTTCCATCCACTGTCTTTTATTTCATGGTATCGACCTCCTTGTGAGTTCTCTTCATTATAATGTCAGAATTGTTCAAAATTAATCAGTAACGCTTGTTTTCTATTAGATTTATTTTGTTACCGCAAAATAAAATAAATAATAACCTGAGAGAGCGATATGGTGTGTCTCCCCACTCAGTGGTACTACCCTGTCCATAAGTTATTCAAGTCCTTGGAGACTTCCCCATAAGGTTTCTGTAACTTTGTTTTTCCTTCCCTACGGTTTTGTAAATCAATTCCAAGACAAAGCAAATGTATGATTGGGGACCCTAGTATTTTTCTAATGTTAGTGTTGGTACCATCTTTATTACTGTCTCCTTAATCCATTTAACCATTTATAATTACTACATAAAATCTGAAATACGTTAGAGGCATCTATGAAGAGTCATATTGGATAAAATTTTGGCCTGAAAATGCGTTTATAGGTAGGAGACAGCCCCCCTCTATAAGTTGGTTTTGTAGGGATGACTTAACTCCAACTCAAATTTTAAGTTGTTATCAGAATCTATCCAAAATGCATTGGGTCATCAGTTATCAGGCCACCTGAACCACACTTCAAATGTTCAGTTTTGGGCATGGGGGTATGTGAGTCAGACATTGAATTAAGGTTTGAAAATGCATTTATAAATGAGAGGCATCCGTCACTCTATAAATTGGTTTTGGAGGGATGAGCTAGACTCGACCCAAATTCTAATTGCATCATTCAAGTTTTTGTATTTCTAATAAACCATGACTAAATGATTATGATGTTCATTTGGTAGATTGGTCACTGCAGTAGTGGACATTGGACCCCCGGCTGACTGGGTCAAGATCAATGTGCGGGAAACGGTCAGTCTGTTTGGTTTTATTCTGTACTTGATTCACGTCCTTTCTATGTACCATAATGGAAGAACTGTCTTGAACTTGATTTTTTTTTCTAAGACTGTTTGCTATATCCATGTCCAGAAGGATTGTTTTGAAGTGTATGCACTGGTTCCTGGGCTCCTTCGCGAGGAGGTAACTTCTTTAGTTTCTTTATCTTTATCCTTTGTTATTTTTGTGCGGCAACAACTTAGTTGACATCAAGTCACCTAATTCTCTGGAATGGAATATATATAGGTTTCAATTGTCGAGCCTAATCACCTAAACGTGACAGTTAATAAAAATAATTGGCAAAGTTGCTTGAATTATTGCAAAGAATTATAGATTTAGACAAATTCCTTTATGATTTTGACTTGGTTTCTATTTTTATTACTTATTTTGATTAAATGAATCTAGGTGCGAGTCCAATCCGATCCAGTTGGACGACTTGTTATAACTGGTACGCCAGAGCATGTTGACAATCCATGGGGTATCACCCCCTTCAAAAAGGCAATTCTCTATCTTCTCTCAATGAATACCTTGGTATATTACTATTTTGTATTTTCATAAGGAGATATCACAATGTTGACAATAGTAGTATCACATTATTACGGTTGGGAAACATTAGCTTGACTTCTGATTTGAAAATGGGTGAATGAAATTAGCTGTTTTGTTTTCCAGGTTGTGAACTTACCTGCAAGAATTGATCCACTTCAAACATCTGCTATTGTTAGTTTGCATGGACGACTATTTGTACGCGTTCCTTTTGAGCAGGGAGCTGTATGATTTTTATTTTCCTTCCTTGAATGGTTGGTTTCTCACATCCTCAAAATGAGTAAAATTTTTATAAACAATCAAGGAACTTTGTTTATAGCTCTCTTGGATTAGTTCAAACTAATGTCCAACTTTAGTATCAATAATTATTTTCTCTACGGTAAAATACCCAAATGCACTGAGCAATAAACTTGATTTTCAAATGTTAAGATCCAATTTTGCCTTTATAAAAGTATAAAAACAACCATTTTATTTACTTTGTTGAATTTCTAGTGCGTACATTAAGAAAAGTTCAATGAGTTATAGAGGACTGCCTTTAAAATCTTGTTGCTTACAAAGTGACAATCGAACAAAGTGTTTGCAGGAAATCACTCGGGAATTTATTATTTAGAGATAGAGGTGTTCAAAACTGAATCAGTCCAACAGAAAATTAGAAATCAAGTCCAATAGAAAACTGTGCATTTGGTACGGATGTGTTTGAGTCATTTTTTAATAAAATTACATTTGCCAGCGCGGTAATCAAATTGAAACTGAAAAAAATTGCATTTGGTTTGGATATGTTTGAGTTATTTTTTAATAAAATTGTGCGGTTTGATTTGCTGTTTGTATTTTAAAAATTAAACTAATCAAATCAAACTACATTTTGTTACAATTCAAAATTTACTTATGTCACATCTAACCCTAAATTCTAACTTATTATGGTTTAGACTAATGGTTACGAATTATTTTCTCTTATTCACTTAGGATTTTAGTTTTCGCATTCTCAAATCTCTGCATTCTTCTCATCTTGTTTGTCATGAATTATTTTCTCTTATTCACTTAGGATTTTAGTTTTCGCATTCTCAAATCTCTGCATTCTTCTCATCTTGTTTGTCATGTATATTTCTTGTTTGTCATGTATATTTCGTCTTCTACTCTAATATCTCCTCTCATGTTGTTTCTTGTTCATTTTCTCATTTTTATGCTATTGTTCTCACTTTTAATTACATTTTTATTGTACCTCTTTTAATCTTCTATTATGTTATTTTTTTTTCATCTTCTCTAATTTTTTTCCATATGTTTTTTTATTTTATTTTTAATTTCATTAGTGTTTTTGATCCTATTTTAAGCTACTATGTATGTTTTTTATTTTATTTTTCTCTAATATGATTTTTGTATATTGAATAGGATGTTATTGTCAAAATATGATAAATTTTATTGTTATTTGTTAATGTATGAATGACTATATACAAAGTTATGTTCTCTATATGCATATGTATGGTTCAATAAAAATATTGTAAGAAACTAAATCAATCTAAACCGCATTGGTTTGATTTGGTTCTATTTTATTTTTAAAAATCAACTAAACTAAACCGAACTATATTTTTTTTCTTGCCGTTCAAATAATTTTTAATTTTAAAACCATCTAAACTGCACCGCAAACACTCGTATTTATAGTCATTTATAATTGCATATAATTCCGGTTCAATTCCAGTTAGAGCTAGATATTTGTTGAGGAATCAAGAATGAAAATTCAAGAAGACAGAATAAAATTGTAATAAATTTATATAATATAAATATATTTTGCATAATGTAACATAGTTTGATGTTTTTTTAAGCCTTTTGTCATGTTTATTATAAAAAAATTTAATTGGGGGTTGCTCTTCCTATCCTTAGTAGTGAAGAATCATCCTTAAGAAACATGAAAATGTCTTTGAAATAATACATAAGTTAATTTTTGGACACACTCATACACACCAAAATACTTTATAAATGTGTCACTTACATTTTGTCAAAAAATAATATGAAAGTTAACATCTGTATTAATAGAAGGGCGAGTCTTTAGATTAAATTTTGGACTAACTTTTGGACACATTTTTAATACATAATAGTGTGTTTATTTCACAACTGAAATAAATATTATAGAAGTTAAGTTTCGTATTAATTCTTAGAATAGTAAACTTTCCTATTTTATTATAAAATTGACATATTTTTATATACCTTATATTTTAAGCTAATTTAATCCTTTGAAAAGTGGCGTTAAATGAAGTGAAGACAAACCTTCTTTATATAAGAGTTGGAAAATTCATAAAAGGAAATAATTCATGGGCGCAATTGATGAGCCAATCGATTGACATAATGCTCCAATCGATTGACCAAGCCATTTTAATCGATTACCATGCTCAAATGAAAAAGATTGGATATAGAGTCGTCGTCAGTCATTAATATGCTATCCTAATCACTCGGTTAATTGATTGACCATTTTCCTATCAATTGGCTTAGTACTAAAATCAATTAGCTGACTTAGAATTTTTTTACTAATCGATTGAAACAAGTTACTAACCGATTGGTTAGTTCAAAAGTTATTTGGAAAAAGATTGGATAACTTTTTGGTCACTTGTCTTGGCTAAGAAAATATTTTTCAAGATAAAAAAATTTGAGAAAGATGTTTTAAGGTGTTGTGAGTTTCCTTAGTACTTCAAAGTTAGTTCCTCACTTTTAAAAAACTTGAGCCACTCAGACAGACAGAAGCAACTTGGAGAACTTTCACACTTTTATTTGAGGCTTCAAGATTCTTTGTTGGATAGATCTGATCATATAAGCACTTTAATATTGAGTCTCTTTTTTTGACGAGGTATGAGATATCTCTCTGGTTAGGTCACCATCATCAAGGTTGAACGATATTTTCACCAAATTTAATCATTTTTATTATCATCAAAACTTCATATAAATCTTCTACAAGATTTTCAACTTATACCTGCAAGCACATAAATCCACAATTACCACAACACAAGACTTTGACATTTTCCTGAGATTGAATTTCCTAGGGACTATATTACAGGTATCCATATAATGAATGGAACAGTAGTTCGGATCATGATTCCTATAATGAGAGGGAATCTATGAACTACCGATGGATCAACTAGAAGAAATTGTATAAAGGATAAAAAAATAAAAAATTTCCACAACACACGGGGCCTTAGAAGTGTACAGGGTTTCAAAAAAGGTAAATAAAAATATTCTAAAATTCCTCAATGGTGAGAGAAATCTCGATTTTACGTAATGTGGATCTATGTGCCTGTAGGTATGAAGCTGATGATCCTAACGTTGGTGACCTTTTTAGTGTTTTGACGATGACAATGCTTATGCTTGTTGAAGTCGGTGGTAATACCTTTCCAACTCTTGGATGATTTTATTAACTTGAATATTTCTTAAGCTTCGTCAAGTTCCAGTGAAGTGCTTATATGACCAGCAAATCTGGCAAAGGAACTTGAAAGCTCTAGAGCTGTGAAAGAAAAAAAATGTGAAATCTCACCTGGTCGTATTTATTTGAGTGACTAGAGTCTTGTAAAAGTAGAAGAATAACTCCTATGATACTACGAAAATTGAAATTTTGTTCCTTACGGGACAAATGTCGAACTCGATGCTTCGACAACCAGTCCGACAAGATAACCAGAACCACTACAATAACAAGTACTAGCTGATGAGGCAGAAAAGAAATTAAGAACATAATCAATTGCTTACCCAGTTCGGTGAATGTTAAGGGTCAAATTATGCATAATTTTTACTTTATTTTATGGCCTTTTCAATTGGCTTTCTTGATAACTTAGTATAATATCTATTAGTTTTAGTGCATTTATGTTAATTTCCAATTTTAGTGTAAATATTGTGAACTATGATCGTTTTGATGCTCTTTGACAGGTATTCTTGCTTATATTTGATGATAGGAACAATTGGTGAAGGAAAGAAGGCATGAAAGTCGATTTTTGAAGATTTCGTGTCGGTAAAACGCGCTAAGCAAGATTTTCAGCACATAACCAGCGCGCCCTTGTAAATTCCAATAGCTAAAGTCTCTAACCGCGCTAAGCGGGCTTCTACCGCGCTTCCTGGGAAATTGTCTATATTTTATTGACCGCGCTGAGGCCGCTTAGCACGATGCCACTTATTGCACTTTGTGCACTTACTATAAATATCTTCCCTTGGAGATATTTTTACCAACTCTTGTACTTTTACACTTTTCAGCATTTTGAGAGATAAAAAGGGTTTTCTAGGTCAAAAATCTTAGAAACTCAAGGAGAAGTGAAAATTAAATCTTTGGAGCATCAATCCTCGATTCTTCGACTTTGATGCTAGCAAAGCTTCTTTTCTTACTTGTTGATTAAGCTACCATGATGATGGGTAGCTAAACACTTTTGTGTCAGGATTAGAGATAGTTAATCTTGTTTTTATATATTTCTTTTGATCTTTTGTATGTAAACAAGGTTTATGATCAATAGAGGATGAAGTTATTTACTTTTAATGATATATTTATAGTTTGAATCACTCTAGACATAGATTTTCCAAGTCTTGATCTAATTTCTTCATCTATTAACCAACAAACTCTAGACATAAATTTCAAAGTTAATATTTGTTTTGTATCGATCTTTATGTTTATTGTTTCAGCTGCTATTTCGAGAAATCATCTAGCGATTAAAACAATAATATTCACGGAGCCGCTTTAGAAATGAACGGATTTGCGAGGATACACAATTGTATTGGTAGAAACTAAGTTCACATGCTTGATTAATCAAATAAGTTTGAAAAGGATCAACGAAATCTAATCTTGACATGCTTTTCTTAAAACAAAACATCTTTGCCCTAATTTACTCTTTGCAACAAACTTATGTTACAAAACAAGCAATATTTTGAAAACTCATTACTTAGAACGTTAAACTATTGAACAACGAGCATCGTTATATCTTACGAAAATACCTGTGGATATGATAAAACACCCACCTAAAATACTTTTCAACAAAATGGCACCGTTGTCAGGGATTGTTAAGTAGGATATTGCAAGCATTACAATAGTTTAGTGATTTTAAGATATTTGTATTGTGAATCTCTTACCTCTGTAATTCTCTTGTGCTTTTTAATTTGTTTGGCTAGTTTCCAGAATCTGTTTATGCGAGGGAGTGTACTTGCAGAAGAACTTCTTTTTGATATGGAGATTGAAAGAACTGCTCGTAGGCTCAATAGCAGAACAAGGCAAAGAC